GTCTTCAGTCTTTAATACCTAATTCATCAAATCTGTTCTTGAGATGATCTCTATATTCAGGTGGGATGTGTCCAAGATCATATTTTAACTCTCATGGACTTGTTATAATTTTCCTCAGCTTCAGCCTGAATGTCTGTTCCACAGTCTGCCCCTGGCCTTGTTTTGGCTGATGATATGGAGTTTTCCACCATCTCTTTCCACAAATGTACTCAATTTGATTTCTGTGTATTCCATCTGGTAAGGTCTGGTGTATAGTCCATCTGGACTATATCTGGTGTATAGTCATTTTTTATGTTGTCTAAACAAGATATTCTCAATGAATAAGTCATTGGTCTTGAAAAATTCTATCATGTGATTTCCAACATCATTTCTATCACCAACATCATTATTCTCCAACTAGTGATCCTTCCTCCTTGTTTCCAACCTTTGCATTCCAATCACCAGTTTTACTAATACATCTTGATAGCATGATCGATCAATTTCAAACCAATTTCAGAATTCAAGTTTGTAGAGTTCTTCAATTTCATCATCACTGGCTTGAGTGGCTTGTGTGCAAATTTTAATTATACTGGTATTAAATGGTCTTCCTTTCCTTGTAGGCATATGGATATTATCTTATCACAGACAACATTATACTTCAAGACAGAACTTGAAATATTCTTTTGATGATGATTGCTATGCCATTCCTCTTCGATTTGTCATTCTCAGCACAGTAAACTATATAATTTTCAGATTCAAAATAGCCAATACCAGTCCATTTCAGCTCACTAATGTCTAGGATTAGTGAGCTGAAATGGACTGGTATTGGCTATTTTGAATCTGAAAATTACATGGAGCTCTGGTAGCGTAGTGGTTACAAATCGGGCTGTGAACCGCAAGGTCAGCAGTTCAAAACTACCAGCTGTTCTGTGGGAAAAAGATGAGGCTTTCTGCTCCCATAAAGATTTACAGCCTTGGAAACCCTGTACAGGGTCACTATGAGTCGGAACCTACTCCACGGCACATCACCACCACCACCAATGCCTAGGATATCGATGTTTATGCATTCCATTTCATTTTTGACAACATCCCATGTTCTAATTATTAATGGATGGTACAACTGTTTCTCCTCATTTTGAGTTGTGACCCATCAACAAATGAAGGTCCTGAAAGCTTTACTCCATTCCTATCACTCCAGTGAACTCTACTTTGAGGAGGCGGCTCTTCTCCAGTCATATTTTAAGTGCTTTCCAAATCAAGGGACTCATCTTCTGGCCCTATATCAGACAGTATTCTGGTGCTATTCACAGTGCTTCAATATTCAATATTTTGGTGTTATCTAACAGTATTCCACTGTTGTTCATAAAAGTTTTCAATGGCTAAACATTCGATCCTGGTGTGACACTGTAGGATAATGCACTGGACCACAAGGTTGATTTGAACCGCAAGGTTGGTGGTTCAAACCCACCAGCTGCTCCTCAGAAACCCTATACAGGGTTGTTATGCATCAGAACTGAGTCGATGGCACTTAACAAAAACAACAAATATTCAGAAGTAGTTCACCATTCCTTCTTCCTAGCCTCTCTTAGTCTTGAAGCTCAGTTGAAACCTGTCCACCATGGGTGGCCCTGCTGGTATTTAAAATACCAGTGGCATAGCTTGCAGAATGACAGCAACATACAAGCATCCACAGTACGACAAACTCACAGGTTTTGGTGGACAGCAATAACAAACAGCCATTTTCTAGTAGACAGCCTTTGACATGGCTTCCAGCTTATTTCCTAGTCTCCCTTCTTTGGTCTTGGGCAGTAAACCAGGTACTCAATAGTCAAAAGAAAAGGAAGATTTTTCTTGAGGGAGGATGAAAGGTCAGGCCTACAAAAGAATGTTGGGAGAGGATTGTACTACAGGGAAAAAAGACCCAAAATTCAAATGTAGATTATAGAGACCCTCTTTTATTAAGTATTCAGCAGCACAAAGATAAGGCAAAACAAACACCAGTCATCTGGATGAGGAAGATCCTCAGCATGAGGCCATAATGCTATCTACTGGATTTATAGGCATGTGACCAATACTTGTTGTTAATTGTCATGACCAATTATAGAAGATGGAAAACAAAGGAAATCTGTCACAAAATCATGTTCTGCCACAGATCAGTTCATCACTGTTGCAGCTGGGACTACAGAAGTGGACCACGACTGGGACTGCAGATGAGAAAAGCTCAGGGGACTACTTTTGTCAGGTATGACTCATGACCACATGACCTTGGAACCCCAACTTCCATGTAGGGCACATGTAGACAAATCCCTGAGGTGAGACTGTCTCTCCTGGGCTGCCTGTGGGTCTGTAGAAATCCACTTTCAAATGCACTCTTACTTTGACATTTCTGGCTAGTTGTCAGAAGGAACTCCATGGAGACTGAATTTATGTTAAAACTCAAAATGGATTTAGGGCTCCTGAGAATTTAAACTCTAATGCAGGGTTAATACTGAAAGTGGTGAAACAGCACACTAATACACAGACACACCAATATATTTACATACCCACTCCAAAAAATGGATTCTACGGAAATGAAACATTGTTAAGTGCCATCGAGTCAGTTCCAACTCATAGCAATTGTGTACAGCGTTTCCAAGGAGCAGCTGGTGGGTGTGTACCACTGACCCTGTGGTTCAAACCTACCCCGTGGTCCAGTGCGTAGCCTACAGCACCACACCAAGAGTATGAATCTAGGAAAATTCATACCCCTGGGCACAGTAGATCCCAGAGACTCCACCCCTTCCTTATGCTTGAAGACCAGCCACTGAGTTCTGCCAGACTCCATATAACCAAGACATTAACAAGAACACAGACCAAACCTCTGCTGGGGAGTCTTTATCACAATGAACTCACTAACTACTTACTAAACCTGACTTCTTCATGTTTTGGATAACAAGAGTCGGGTAATACCGCCAATGCAGTCAGTCAGAATGAATGAATTTTGCATTGGTCTAAGCACCAGTGCTTTGGCTACTAATCAGATGACCATCCCTTGAGCAGCTGTAATTTAAACACTACAGAGAAGAGAGCAGATAGTGTGGCTGACAACTGGGTAGAGTCAGATTTCACTACTTACTGCAAATGTCAAGAGGAGGAACTTGTTGAGGAGAACAGGGTTTTCAAGAGCAGTGCCCGATTTTATTGATTCCCATATCTGTCAAGAGAAAGCAATGTGTCAAGGTGGGTTACCAAGCATCTCGGAGCTTCCCTCCCTCAGGAGAAACACGGATGGAGCTGTAAAGCTCATTCCAGACAACAAAGTGGGCCATTACCTTTACCTGCCCACTTCATACTGCCTCTCTGCCAGCCCCGCACCTGTCGAATTCTGTCAGCAATACAACCCAGTAGCCTCCTCTCCGTGGGTCTCATCATCAGAGGGGACAAGCAGGTGGTACCATACCCTTCATTATTCCCTTCCACACATAGTTACTGTCTACTCAATAGCAGGTACATGGGAGTGACAGAAATCAGGGGCACAGTCCCTAGCCTCCAGAGCTCACTGTCTAGTGAGGGAGACAGACTTAAACATAAGAACAAGCATCATACAGGGCTCAACATCGCAGCAGTGTGCAGAATTCCTGAGTCTAACTCACAGCAACCCCACGTGTCAGAATGGAACAGAGCTTGGTAGGCTTTCCAGAGGATGATTTTTCAAACCAGATACTGGACTCTGGGTGGACTCACACCACCAATGTGCGGCTAGCAGTTGAGTATGTTAACCATTGGAACCACCCAGGGAGCATGTTAACCATTGGAACCACCCAGGAGGAAGAGCAAATTCAGCTGTGGCTGGAGGGGTGGAGGGGGAAAAGTCAGGGAGAGTTCTCAGAAAAAGTGATCTGAACTACGTGTAGAGAATTTCTTAAAGTCTTATTTTAGATGATCTTGCCCTGAGAGATGAGGAAAAGACAACAAAAGTTTGTGTCTATTTAGCAAGTACTGTGACTGGAAGAAAAAGAAACAGCTGGTGACTAAGTAACTAAGATTACTTACCCAACTTTATGTCACTAAGTTAAACAATCAAGCCACGGAATGGATCTAAGAGGTCAATGAGCAGAGGGAAATAAATTCCTGCTACTGCAATGATAGGCTTAGAGGAGCAGGCCCACTGAAGAGCTGCCCACTCTGATCCGCTGTGAAAGTCTGGGCCCTGGTCATGGGGTGAGATTCCTGTGAAGAGCAATCTGCTTTCTTAGATGACATATGGAGACTTAACTTAAATCTCTGGAGATTCCTTTATAAATTGTAGCCAAAGAAGGAGGCCCAAGGGTAGTGAAGCCATGTTGTGGTTAAGCGCTGTCGAGTCAATTCTGACTCATAGCAACCCTGTATAGGGTTTCTAAGGAGTGGCTGATGAGCTTGAACCACCAATCGTGCAGTTCAAACCAATCTTGCAATCTAGTGCATTAACCCACAGTGCCACACTAGGACTCCATGTTGTTGTTGTTATGTGCCATGGAGTCGGTTCCAACTTATAGTGACCCTGTACAGGGTTTCCGAGACTGCAAACCTTTACGGGAGCAGAAAGCCTCATCTTTCTCCCATGGAATAGCTGGTGGTTTCAAAGTGCTGACCATGAGATTAGCAGCCTGATTTGTAACCACTGTGCTACTAAAGCTCCTTAGGACTCCATAGGACAAGAAAAATGACCATCGCCACCTGAGCCACAGACTACGGCCATTGCAAGAAAGATGAGTGAAGCCTGCCTCGAAAGCAGAGATGAAGGTATCCTTCTCTGACCGACTTTAGCACCTGTAGACACTGTCTTGTTTTTATGGACTATTGTAAAGACCAGGCAACTAAGTTACAGAGGACTAGGCTTACTCCCAAATCCATGTGAAATACATTCCAGGCAGAAAGACATGATGTCCAAAGGGCAAGGGAGAGAGCACAGAGAAGCCTAGGAGATTAGAAGCAGTTTCTTGTGTGTGGGTGAGTGAGAGGATCAGCAGAGGCCAGGTCATGAAGGACAATGAAACACAGACTAAGCAGTTTAGATTTAGCTCGAACGGTGATAGAGAAACAACCTGATCATTTCTTACAGCATTATGGGGCTTAGGCCTTGTAAAGCCTCTCCAACAGGCACAAAGAACAGGGTCCCACACCTATTCAGAAACAGGAGCAAAACTCTCACAAGATCAAACTGCAGCAAAGTGCCTGCCTGGAGAAGATGATTCCACCACTGCCCACCCTTAACCAGAAGGGTTATGTGTAATTTTGGCTAGCCCATCATTCTCAGGCATAATTATGGAATTAGCCTCCATTTTGTGAACTGATGTAATTACCCTATGTATTGTAAATCCTAATCACTATGATATTAATGAGGCAGAATTAAAAGCATTTATGTTAATGAGGCAGAATACATCCAGATGATTAGGTTGCATCTTGAGTCACTCACCTGTGAGATTTAAGAGATTAACAAGAGAGCACAGATCAGAGAGGCCAAGAAAGAAGAGTCATGAATTGAGCACGTCCTTTGGACCCAGGGTCTCTGCACTGGGAACCTCTTAGAACAGAGGAAGACTGATACCAAATACATGGAGATCTCCAAGGATTGCCAGCCCCACAGATGCTGAAAGGAGACAAGGACCTTCCTCCAGAGCTGACAGAGAGAGAGAAAGCCTTCCCCTAGAGCCAGCCTCTAATCTCCTAAATTGTAAGAAAATAGATTTCTGTTTGTTAAAGCCACCCACTGATGGATTTCTGCTACAGTAGCTCTTGATAGCTAAGACACCCACAGCATTCCTGAGTCCTACACATGCTTGTCTTTATGACAGAACCATGGCCTTGATCAGAAACACTACAGCTTCCAGGACCAAAGAAAACATCTGACCTCATTTGCGGCTTGCTCCAAGAGTAGCTTCTTATCTGCTGTCTTGAAGGACTCGAGTGTATTGGTGTTATATAGTGTTCCAACAGCTGGGCAGCAATGGGCTGGGGTGGGAGCATTCCTAAAGACAAGTAAAAGATGATTCTCCAGACAATCTGGTATTTAGAAAAGGCCCCAAAACTCTCCCCCGAAACCAAACCCACTGGTGTCAAGTTCATTCCGACTCAGGTCGACCCTGTTTGTGTCAAAGCAGAACTACTCCCCAGGGTTTCATTGCTGTCACCTGAACAGTAAGTGTCCCCAGTGGTGCCATGAATAAGCGTCTGCTCAAATCTACACAGTGACTCTGTGGGAGAAAGACCTAGTGATCCGTTTCCATAGAGATGACAGCCAAGGGAACCTGATGGAGAACTTCTACTCTGTCATGCAGAGTCAGAATGGACTTGATGGCAATCTTAACTGATGCAGATTGCCAGGTCTTTCTTTCATGGAACCATGGGGTGACTCTCAGTTGCCATCCTCGTGGTTAGTAAAGTGCAAACCATCTGTGCCACCCAGAGACAGAGAATGCCAGTGAGTGACAATTAAAACAATTCCAGTAGCAGGAGTCAAAGGATATTGTTTTCCTAGGCAAGTAAAAGACAGTTCCTTTATTTGGAAAGAGATAAGCATCATCACCTAAGTAAGCACTGTCGTCCCTCTTCCCCCCGCCTCCCCCCCCCCACAGAAGCCATATACTCTCCTTAACTTAACCTCTAAGCATGCCATTCTTCTATTCTCCCCCAAATATCAAGTTCATTTTCTTTCCAGTGAAAGAGAAATACTATGTATTGAGCTTCTCCCGTGCCAGGGACTATACAAGGTTTTAGTTTAATTTTCCTAACTGCTCTTTTCCCCATTTCAAAGCTGAGGATATGTGCTTCAGAAAAGTTTAAGTAAGTAATCTAAGATCACATCATAATTCTAGGCAGAGCTAGAATCTAAAACCAGAACAATTTGACTTCAATGCTCTGTGTTCCTCATCCCTACTGGTACAGAAACTGAAACATGATATTTTAGAGCATATACAGCCAACTGTAAAATCCTTGAGGGCAGGGAACACTGTAGGCCACCCCAAACAGGGCTCTACACCGAGCTGCTGTTGAGTAAATCCCTGCTGGTCGATCCAAACACACAGAACACATTATACCTGGTGACTTGTCTGGAGATGTGCTCCATGGTCTACATTCTACACTGCCCTGAAGGCCTCACAGGTTTCAGAGTAACCAAAGTCAAGTAGAAGAGGAGTTGATTCTGAAGTGGAAAAATGTCATCTCTTCTCTGAAATGATTAACTTGTGTGTCAGTCGTTCTAGATGCTAAATGTAAAGAGCCATTTACAAGTAATGCCAAAGGAGTGCATTTTTATTGCTTGCACTAAAAACCCAGTGTCCCAAATGTCTCTTCATTCTGAGTCTGTTCCAAGTGCATACAACAGGGCCACATGGGGGAAGAGCCCTGAGTCCAGGATGGTGTGGAGGGAAGCAATGGAAGATGTGGGCTCTGTCTGCAAATCTCACAGTCCAGCTCCTGGGGAAGGCTAACTTGGAATGGCCATAGTCTGCCCTGGGGAGCTGCTGAGTCAGCAAATGTTCAAGTGTTTGTCACCACTTTCCAATGAAAGCGCACTGTTCGTCCAGGTAAGATGAAGATGTCAAAGACAGCCTAGAAGAGGAAGAGAAATGACAAGGGACAAGATCAAACCTCGAGAGAAGAGGAAGCAGAGAAGTGGCAAACCAGGAGCTCTGCACCCAGACATGCCATCCTGAAGACTGCGGAAACAGAGGCTGCAGATGGAACAGCTGCGGTGCTGCTTTCAGACCTGATCGAATCTGGATACAAGCCCAAGAGCAGGTAGGTACAGTAAGACGGGTTCTCAGAAACTGAGGAGGTGGGGGTGATGACAATGTTTTGGAACTAGACCAATGTGGTACACAACACTGTGAATGTATTAATGCCACTGATCAGGAGGAGGCATGCTGCGTCATCTGCTTTCTGTAATGTCCCCATTCTGTTTCCTCTTCTATAATGAAACTTAACATCCCGTGACAGTGTCCACTGGCATCCTTCCATCAATCAAAACGCATCCCGTTTGACAGCTATACACTTGTATCACTGCTATTCAATTCAACAATTATTTGAGCCACTAGTCCAAACCAGATCTGTATTAGAAGCTAGTGATATTAACTCACCCTCAGGCACTGGATAGACACAGCCTCAGACCCCAACACTCTTACTTCCTTGATTTTTTTTTTTAATGCTTTATTGTGAATTATGTGATAGTTTACATGGGAGGACATCAGCTTCACTTTGATCCCGTTGTATATCGTTTCCTTGCCATGGTTTACAATCCCTTCCATGCATCATCAATCAACTAAAGGGTGTACCCAGCAAGACTGCCCCCGTCATCCACACACCGCCCCTCTCTCTCTCCAGGTCCAAAGTTTCCAGCCGCTCCATCTCCCCATGTCATCGTCTCTGCCTCGATCCCTGGCTTAATTACATTTTAAGTCCTTTAATACAATGGTTATTCCTTCTATTTCTCTAGATAGATTATAAAAAATTAAAAAAAAAAAAAACCAACTCATTGCCACTGAGTCAATTTCGACTCACAGTGACCTTGTATAGGGTTTCTGAGACTGTAAATCTTCATGGGAGCAGGCAACCTCATGTTTCTCCTGCAGAGCAGCTGGTGGGTTAGAAGTGCTGACCTTGCCGTTAGTAGTCAAGTGCTTACGCTACAGTGATGCCAGGGCTCCTAGATAAATGGACTGCTGCCATCAAATCAGCTCAGACTGATGGAGACCTTACGTACGGCAGAACAAAACGTCACGTTGTCCTGCACTTCCTTCATGATCAGTGGCTGAGTTTGAGTCCATCACCGCAGTTACTGTGCCTCCTTCTCAGCAAGGATCCCCTGCACCCTGCTGGCCCCCACCCCACCAAACATGATGTCCTCTTCCAGAGCTGATTTTCTCTGGGCAGCATGTCCAAAAAAAGCAGGCAAGTTGTGATCCAGAAGATTTGAAGAAGTAGATTGCCAAGCCTTTCTTCCTAGTCTGTCTTAGTCTGTAAGCTCCACTAAAACCTATCTACCATGATCCTACTGGTATTTGAAATACTGGTGGCATAGCTTGCAGCATCTCAGCAACACGGAAGCCACCACGGTACGGCCTACTGACAGACGAGTGGTGGGTATCTCTTGCAGCCCAACTTGATTTCTTATGACAAATGAGGAAGAGGTCTAGGGAAAGGAAAACTTTTGCTGTAGTTTACCTGTTTCACATTTACACAGACACTGTCTACCCAAAATGATTTTTCCTTTTCTTAAACAGAAATTGTTGTTGCTAGTTGCTATCGAGCCGGTTCTGACTCACAGCCACCCCATGTGTGAGAAGAGAGCTGTTGTATAGAGTATTCAAGGCTGGAACCTTTAGGGAGCAGGTTGTAAGGCATTACTTCTAAAATATTGAACAGCAAATAAACAAAATTATTTTCTTTCTCTTCTGAAACACAAATTGAATATGAGGATAAGTCAAAATATTGCTACAAAATCATAGAAACTTTTATAAATCAAAAATAATAAAATATAAAGCTACTGTTTCTCGACATCTCCTCCATCTAGGTCTATACACTTCTGAAGGCCGTGTTTCTATCTCTCTGCCCCATCCCCGAAGAATTCTGTGCTCTTGATGTTAGTATCCTGGAAGGGCTCAAATCATGTTCTTTTTCAATGTTACTGAGTTATAGGAACAGAAAGAAATGTGAAGGGACAAGATCAGGCCTATATAGTGGATGGGATAAGGTTTCCCAATGAAATTCTGGTAGGACAGCCCTTGGTACCCTCAAACAATAACCATGTGCATTGTTGGAATGGAAAAAAAAAAAAAAAATCTTGGCATAACTACCCAGGCCTTTTTCTAACCAATGTAGTTTTCAATTTTCCTAATAAATCCCCATATCCTTTAAGAAAATCCATCAAGATGACACCTTTGGAATTCCAAAAAACAGTCCCTATACCTTCTGATATAGTCGCTGTTTTAATGCAGACTTCAAAATCGTTTGAACTGCAAGGTCATGGTTCAAGCTCACCAGCTGCTCCTTGGAAACCCTATACAGGGTTTCTATGGGTCGGAATCAACTCGACGGCACTTAACAACAACATACCTTCTGAGCTGACCCCTCTAGCTTGAACTTAACTGGCCCAGCAAATTCCCTCAATAACTACTGTCTATGAAGACATCCTAACAAGTACATTATTACTGAGCAAAGTGTCTTGAGTACCTCACTGATTGTGAAGACATGTTTAAAGATGTTTAGTTTAGAATAAAGTGATACATTATAAACTGGAACCCTAGTATCAATAGTCATTTGAGCTACACTCATACATACACGGTGCATGTCACTGGACACTACGTTTCCTAGGTTTCCTTGCAAGACAGGCAAGGCCACAACTCTCTACAATACAATATGAGTGGATGTGATATATGCCCCTTCACTTCTTTAAGGGGTCTTGTCCACCTATTCACCCTTATTCGCTTTCTCTTTCCCGTTTACCTATTGTTAACCTGAATGTGACAAGTCAGTCTCAACTAGCACACAAAGGCAAAACCACAGATGGAAGAGGACTGGACCACATGGCATGACTACTAAGTAAGCACGAAAAACTACTTTTGTGTTGAGACATCTCATTTTGGGGTCTGGTTCAGCAGCACAACATAATTAAGGTCAACTCCTTGATAAAATGCAACTTAACTAATAATTCACCTGAGACAGAGAACAGGGTCCTTGTGTTGCTAACTCTTAGCAGAGATTCACAAGTTTCCCAGGGCCTCAGAGTGAAACAGATTTATCTGGTGGGTTAATGCGCCAGACGGCAAAGCCATATGAACTGCCAGCTCACCAGCAGCTCCTCAGAAACCCTATAGAGAGGGTCACTATGGGTCGGAACCAACTCCACGGCACTTAACTAAAACAACATGTAACATTGAAAAGTCATGGTAACGTAGTGGGATCAGCAGGCGGAATCCACCACCCATTCTGCGGAAGAAGGATGAGGCATCTGTTCCTGTAAGATTCACAGCCTTGGAAACCACAGGAAGTACTTCCACTCTGTCCTATGTTGTTGTTATTGGTAAGTGCCGTCAAGTCAGTTCCAACTCACAGCGACCCTGTACAAGGTTTCCAGGGAGAGGCTGGTGGGTTGGAACTGCTGTCCAGTGCTTATCCTACAACACCACATTAGGACTACAGGGTCACTATAGTCAGAATCTACTTGATGGCCGTTGGTTATGCAAAGCCAAGGGAGCCCTGGTGGTGCAGTGGTTAAGCACTTGGCTGCTAACTGAAAGGTCAGCAGTTTGAACCTGCTAGTGGCTCTGCAGGAGAAAAGACCTGACGATCTGCCCCCATAAAGATCACAGCCTTGGAAACCCTCTGAAGCAGCTCTAGTCTGTCAGACAAGATTACTAGGATTTGAAATCAGCTTGATGGCACTGGTGTCCACAAATGAAGAGTAGCTCTGGTAGTTCTCCAAGAGTATCTTCCTCCTCTCTTTCTGTCTAGTTCCGAGCACATGCTATTATCAAGGCACAGAGGAAGCTTTCAGTAAGGATTTCTGCAATAGCTGTTCCCGCTCCACATTTATTACAGCACTAAGCACCCTGTAATGGAAATATTTCTCTGCCACCTCCCTCTCTCAAGCTACAGAGCACACCTCGAGAGACCCATGTTTCCTAAGTCATTGAACTCCTACGACCTACACTGGTGTGGCGCTGTGGGCCAATGCATCATCAGACTGCAAAGTCATTTGAACTGCAAGGTCAGTGGTTCAAGCTCACCAGTTGCTCCTTGGAAACCCTATACAGGGTCGCTATGGGTCAGAATCGACTCGATGGCACTTAACAGCAACAACACATGCACAGAAGAAGCACTGAATGTTTCATGAACAGATTCACAAAGACATTCCATATAGACTCATACTAATATGCAGCAATAAAAACAAAAAATATCAAAACCAAACCCACTGCCATCTAGCATTTCTGACTCATGGTTCACTTATGTGTGCAGCTGCTCCATATGTTTTTGAGATTGTGACCTTTAAGAAACTGATTGCCAGTCCTTTCCTTCAAGGCATCTCAGTGTTTGAACAGCTAGTTTTTCAGTTTGTAGTCAAATGCCTAACAATTTTTGCCACCCAAAGGCTCAAAAAAAGAAAAAAAAAAATTTTAAGATACAATAACAATAATGAAAATACAATCTTCCTCCAATCCTGATGCCACATTGTTCTTCATATATTCCAGCTTCTTGAATGATTTGTTCAGCATACAGATTGAATAAGTATGATGAACAGATAAAACTCTGACACACATCTTTCCTGATTTTAAACCAATCAGTGTCCCCTTGTTCTGTTCCAATAACTGCCCTTGGTCCATGTACAGGTTCTTCATGAGCACAATGAAGTATTCTGGAATTCCCATTCTTAGCAATGCCAGCCATAATTTCCTAACGTCCACAGTCAAATTATTATTGTCCATAGTCAATAAAACACAGGTAAACTTCTTTTCAGTATTTTCTACATTCACCAAGATCCATCTGGTATCAGCAATAATATTCCTCCTTCCATGTCCCCTTCTGAATCTGGTTTAAATTTTGAGCAGAACTTCTACAACCAAGTATGAGTTTTACTTGCGTGTGTTATTAATGATACTGTTACATAATTTTTGTATTCTGTTAGACCATCTTTCTTTGGAATGGGTCTAAATATGGATTTCTTATAGGTCTTCCTATAAGACCAGGTCTTCCAAATTTCTTAGCACACACAAATAAGTACTTTTAACATTGCATCCGTTTGTTGAAAACATTTTATTTGATATCCCCCATCAATTCTTGGAACTTTGCCTTCAGTGCAGCTTGGAATTCTTTCAGTACCACTGGTATTTAATCATATGCTATTTTCTGAAACAGATGAACAGCAACCAATTCTTTTTAGTACGACTGTGCTTTTTTCCCATTTTCCTTTAATGCCTTCTGTGTCACTCAATAGTTTGCCTATAAAATCCTTCAATATTGTTTAACTCGAGGTTTCCATTTTTCTTTAGTTCTTTCAGTTTCAGAATTAGCAACGTGTTCTTCCCTTTTGGTTTTCTAACTCTAGAACTTTGCACATTCCAATCTAATACTTCTTTGTTGAGTCACGCCACATCAGCAAATGAATGTCCCCAAAGCTTTACTCTACCAATGTCATGAAGGTCAACTCTACTTTGAGGAGGCAAGCTCTTCTTTAGCCATATTTTGAGTACCTTCCAATCTGAGGGGCTCATCTTCTGGCACTACATCTGACAATCTCCCACTGCTGTTCATAAGTGTTTCACGAACCAGGTTTTTCAGAAGTCAGCCACCATGTCCTTCCTAGTGTGTCTTAGTCTGAAACCTGTCCAGCATGGCTGATCCTGTTGATATTAGAAATAGCCGTGGCAATAGCTTCCAGCATTACCATAACATGCAAGCCACCACAGTATGATAAACTGACAGACGAGCGGTAAGGAGAGCGATGACTAGAGTTTAATTTGTTTTGACAAACCATCATAAGGAATTTATGGAGCAAGAAAGCACTGAAGAAACACCACCACATACCTCTTAAAGACTACCATCCTTTTGGACTTACAGTAAGCTATTAAATTCTGATATCTGATTGAGAAAAAGGAATAAAACACACTGACTTTTGGAGAGCCATGAGGGAAAAAATCCTAGGGATATTTTATTTGTAATACCCTAATCTTTAATTTCTGCCAGTTTCAAAAGCCAGGCAAGCTTAAACTAGACTTCTTCATCTTCCCCAAAACCCTTATCTTAACATTGCTTAAAAACAGAAAAAGAGACCTCACTGCAGCCTTTAATTCCTCAACCCTCAATTACATTCAACTCCTGTAATAGGGTCTTTGCTTCACTCTTCTGTAGAAACTCAATTCTTAAAGACAACTAATCCCATGAAGCTACACTGAAGCATGACATCTTTTGCTTCTGACATATTTGACCATCTCATTCATTCCAGAAACATTTCTTTCTTTATATTCTATCACACTGTTCCAGTTTTTCTTCTTCTCTGACAACCTGTGTCTCCTATCCTGGTTCCATATCATCTCCCCTCCATAATCAGAGGCTTTCTTTGTTTTGGGTTTGAATTCCTCTCACACTCTATTCTCTTTCCATCTTTTATCCTCAGGAGCTCCACTGCATGGGCCACTCCCAGAATGCTTCTGGCTCTCCTCCTCAACTCTGCTGCCTCCTGGACATTTCAATTGGGCACTCTTCTCTAATTCAACATTTTCTAAAAGAAACTTATCTCCCCTGAAAATTCTAGCTCCCTCCTGATTTCTCTGTTGCTGTAAAAGATACCAAAATTCACCTTGCTAATCAGTGATGCATTTTGTTTTTCTCTCATCTATGTTTCATAAATTTGTTGTTGCTGTTTTAGTACAGTCAAGACAGTTTCAGCTCACAGCGACTCTGTATAAGGTTTCAGAGGACCAGCTAGTAAGTTTGAAGCACAGACCTGACAGTTCAGACCAACCTTGTAATCCAGTGCATTATCCAACACAGCCATGCCAGGACCCTATCTTTAGCCATGTGTAAACTTTAGTATTGGAATCCTGGTGTGGCACTGTGGGTTAATGCTCCAGACTGCAAAGCTGTTTGAACTGCAAGGTTGGCAGTTCAAGCTCACCAGCTGCTCCGTAGAAACCCTACACAGGGTCACTATGGGTCAGAATTGACTCAACGGCACTTAACAACAACAAACTTTAGGATCAGCAGTGGCCGACAGTTCAAACGTACCATAGGAGGTTATTGAAAATAAGGTCAGGCGCACCTTAGTCCTCAAGCTGACATCTCTGCTCTTCAGCACTTTAAAACACTTAGAACCTAATAAAAATCAGTTACCGCTGAGTCCGTTTCAACTCATGGTGACCCCATAAGGTTTTCAATGGCTAATTTTTTGGAAGCAGATTGCCAGACCTTTCTTCTGAGGGTCCTCTGGGTGAACTTGAACCTCAATCATTTGGTGAGGAGGAAAGCACAATAACCACTGGCACCACTAGGGCCACCTGGCCCCTGTTAGGCTCTGATGACTATCAGCTGAGAAAAGTAAAGCCGCTACTCTTAAGCATCTAGTACTTGTCTCAGCACCTATAGGAGGAACAGGAGAGTCATGAGGCATTAAAAGGCATGAGGTGGAGCTTCCCTTGTTTCCTACGTGGTCCACATGAGGGAGTTTTAACAGGGCTCATCTCTTACCAGAAGCAAACAGTTTTCTTTCCTTTAAACTCGGAGCAAGTCAGTACTCACATGTCAAATGCGCTGTACTCCAGGGTTAAACGAGCTGGCAGCGCAGCAGAATCACCTGTACAGAAGCAACATCACAGCTTCAATTACAAGTCAGAAACGGCAGCACTCATAACAAAAGGACTTGAGAATCATGTTGTTATCTTAGTTGCACCCAAAGTGACCTGCCTAATTCCTGACTACTCAAGATAGCAGAATATGACAAAGCTCTTGGGAATATGTGGAACTTTCCAAGTATATAATGAAGATCTATTGGAAGAATATTTCCAACCTCTTCTAATACTAACACATGTTGATTATTTAGATTAACAACTTGTTTCAAACTCCCTTTCTTTTCCCCACCCCTGGGGAAAGGGAACTTGGATCAAAAGTCAGAAAGCAAAAGAGGAAGCAGTGAAGAGCATTAATGACAAAAGACAAGGATGATCCTAAAGGAAAATGGATACTCTACTGGGGGACAGCGGGTCTAAGAGCAAAGGATGGAAGATGGAGGAAGCTACTACCTACCATTATAGTAATAGCCCTTAATGTCCTTGGGAGCTTCATCCAACCGATACTCATTCAGCTTCTTCTGGGTCAACTCATGCCAGAATCCAACATCCAAGGCACTGTTAAAGGGGGCAAACTGTAATTTGGAAAGTACAGGATCCCCTGTAGTTGCCGCCATTATTCGTTGCCTATTAAAAACAAAACAGAACACAGCAAAATAGCATATCCACACAACATTTAATGAGTAAGAACATATGGAAGCATGCTTAACAAACAAGTAATCGGGGAATGCAGGCTACCTTACAGGAAAACTTTTTAAATCACCCTGAGTAATTTGTCTAAGGTGCCATGTTTAGTCTCAAGGCACGAATGATCTCGAACTATGGCGTTCTGATCATCCCTACTAGTTAGAATCAGCTGGGCTTGGAGGCACTCGTGGTATTCCTTCTCCAATGTAGTCCAAACCTTGTGGTTTTCAGTCCAGTGTTTATCCTCTAGAGATGTCATGCTCCCAAAATATGCGAATGATAATATTAAATAAGAGAAAAAATTTAAAGTTTCATATCCATTCAGAAAAGTTTCATGTGAAGTTTGTGCCAAAGTTATAAACAAGTTTTTCGTTTTCCAAATTTGTTGGATTTTAGAATTACAGAGATGGAACTCTGGACTAGTAGTAACTATATGGTAAAATGTAAAATGTGTGATGTACCTAAAAAGTAATAAAAATCAAGATGCAGAAAATGAGCACGGAGCAAAGCACTGATAAAGCCGTGCTGGGAGACAGTGTGCTCCGTATAAGTGTTGGGGTGGGGGTGGGGGGAGCAGGGGGGACAGGGAGAGCAAAGGAAGCAGAGCACAGGCAGTGTGGTGATGGGAGTCTGGGGAAGCTGAGGCTGCTGCTCCTAACTGGATGGTCTGTTGGTGTGATCTATGCACACGAAGCCGCATGCTTATGTGGGGAGAACCCATGAGCAGAAGGCTTCAAAAACTGGAGGTGGAAGAACGTTGGAGTGACAAGCCGGAGAGAGTTTTAAGCAGGGAATACATTTAATTCACCAGCGGCAAAATGACTTGGAAGGAGTTAGAAAAGGAAAGTCAGTGAAGAAAATAAGGGTTCATATCATGAGGAAATTAAAGCAATTTCAAGCCATAACAACAAGAAGAAATTCTGGTACACTTGGCGGAAGCATTTACCAAGTCATACAGAAACTTTTCTTGTAAAGCTTAGGCATCTTAATATCGTTCATTTGAGGACTATTCAGGCATTTAGAAATATTTCAAAACATCATATTCAGAACCTCTTTTTTAATAAATAATTCAGTTGCTTTAAAAAACAAGCACTTAACAACAACAAATGCAAACCTCATGGTAACCAAAGAAAATTAATCTACTCACCAGAAACACAGGAAAAGCAAAACAAAAACACTAAGCATACAAAAAAATCAACAATAATAAGTGAAATAAAAAGAAATTCTGTATACAAAAAAAACTCAGCTCCAAAAGTAAAGAAGTACAAAGAAACCTTTAACAACACACCAAAAAAAGACAAAATGGCTGCAGTAAATTCATACAGTAAATATACCAGTCAAGAGACAGAGTGGCAGAATAGATTAAAAATAAAAAAACATAACCCAACAATATATTGTTTATAAGAAACATACCTTAGGCATAAAGACATAAATAAGTTAAAAATCAAAGGATGAAACAACAACAACAAAACCAATACCAAGTAAATAGCAACCCAAAAGAGAGCAAGAGGGGCAATATTAATATCTAACAAAATAGATTTCAAGTCAAAATCTATTATAAGAAACAAACAAGGGCACTGTATACTAATAAAAGGGTCAATTTACCAAGAAGATATATAATTATAAATATTGTGTATCCAATGTCAGTGCCTCAAAATTTACAGAGCAAAGTCTAATAGAACTAAAGAGAGAAATAGACCGTTCTACAATAATAGGTGATTTTAATATGCCACTGTCAATAACAGATTTGTATCTATAAAAAAAAAAACAACTATTCCTAATTGTCTAGGAAGACAATCAATAAAAATCTAGAAGGCGCTTCCTCAGAAAGCAGGAAATAGAAATAACTGTGACCCAACAATACCTCTACTGGTATGGTCTATGTAGTCACAAGAAATAAGAGCCAGGACATACGCACACCAATGTTCATCAGAGCACTACTCACAATAGCAAACAGATGGAGACAGTCTAAATGCCTATCAATGGGAGAATGGATAAACAAACTTTGGTATATACATACAATGGCATGCTATGCAACACTTAAGAATAGTGATGAATCTGCAAAACACCTCTTCATATGGACGAACCTGGAAGACATTATGCTGAGTAGAACTAGTTAATCACAAAAAGACACATATTATATAAGACCACTACTGTAAACAACTATTATAAAAACTCAAGAAAAGATTTTCATTCTAAAAGAAACACTGATGGTTACCGGGGTGAGAGGGAAGGGAGAGCAACTCACTGGCTAGAGGGCAGACACATGTTAACTCAGGTAATGGGGAGGATAATAGACAAAAAAGGAGAGGGCAATATACCAGAAGAAGGAGGCTGGCAGAAGAACATGAAGACAGGAAAAGACACAGGGAGCTATGCAAGGCCTAAAATGTTAATAACACAGACTTGGAGTAACAGTGTTATGGATATGGAGGGAAAAGTGGGAATTTAATTGCAAATAAATTAAGGATTTGAAAGAATATATGTGTACATATATTGTACAACATAGTAGCTAACACATAGTTGCTAAAACCCAATTATGAATGTGGTGGAGTTCATAGCAGGCAAATGGTGAAAACATCTTAGACATTATCAAATAACTTAAGGCAATGAATAGCTGGGCCTGGGGACTCAGGACCATAGTCTCAGGGGATACCACTGTCAGTTGGCATAACATAGTCCACAAAGACAATGTTCTGCACCCTACTTTGGTGAGTAACATCTGGGATACCAAAAGCTCATGAAGAGCCATCTACAGTGCAACTGTTTGTCTATGTACAGAAGAAAGAGGAGTGATGAGAACTGAAGATGATTAGAATCAATTAGTCCAAACAGACTATTTGACCACGTGAACATTAATCTCCACAACTCTGAGACCAAAAGAACTCTAGATGGTGCCTGGTTACCACTACCAACTGCTCTCAAAGGGTTCACATTAAAAAGTCCTAGATAGAACGAGAGAAAGTATGGAACAAAACTCAAAATTATAAAAAGAAAAAAAGACTGGGTTTATTGGTCAGAAAGAAAGTGGAGGAACCCAAGAGTATGGTCCTCAATCGCCCTTCAGGTCTGTAGAGGAAATCACTCTTGTGGCCCAATTTTCAGCCAAGTAGTAGATAGGTATCTGGGGTAGGGGTGGGGGTTGGTATATATAGGAGGTATGCTCACCACGGAATAGTCAATCATTCAAAATCAAAAGGGCGACATTCACCTAAGAATAAAGTTGGAAAGGGGTGGGAAGGTGAGTGGAATAGAAATCGGAACCACAGGGAGGAAGCAGGTTAATGGTCATTGCATGGAGGGGACTGCAATCATTGAGATGAAACAAAGTGCATGATTTGTTTAATATAAAACTGATGATCTTATCTGTAAACCTTCACTCAATTCACAATAAAAGTTAAAAAAAAAAAAAAAAAAAAAACTCCCAACAAAAACAACAGAAAAAAGCTCAGAACAAGATGGAAATCTATCAAATATTCAGAGAAAAGGTGACATTAGTTCCAGTCTTCCAAACTCTTCCTAACATAGCCCAAGACCAAACCAAGTCAGTATCAATTATAGCGATCCCGTATAGAGTTTCCAAGAATGTAAATCTTTACAGGTGCAGAAAGCCTCATTTTTCTCCAGTGGAGTGGCTAGTTGCATAAACCACCAACCTTGTGGTTAACTCATTCTATGAAGCCAGCATCACCCTGATACCAAAGCCAGGTAAAACCAAAAGATCCAATCCTGTGCCACCAAGTCAACTCCAACTCATAGTGATTCTATATAGAGCTTCCAAGGTTGTAAATCTTTATGGAAGCAGAAAGCCCACCTTTCTCCCACAGAGTGGCTGACGGATTTGAACTACTGATCTTGTTGTTAGCAGTCCAGTGCTTATTCTACAGTGCCGCCAGGACTCCTAAAAGCTAGGCAAAAATATCATACAAAAATGGAAAATCACAGATTATTATTCTTCATGGACATAAATGCAAAAATTCTAGCAAACAGAATTCAATAACTTCAAGAAAATCATGATCAGTTGGGATTCACACCAGGAATGCAAGAGTGGCTCAACATTAGAAAATCAATCAATGAGATTCACCACATAAATAAAACAAAGGAAAAGGACCTCATGATCACTTAAATTGATGCAGGAAAGGTACTAGATAAAATTCAACACCACTTCCTAATGAGAACACTCAGCAAAATAGAAATAGAAGGAAAATTTTGTAACATAATTAAGGACATATATGCAAAACCGTCAATATTACTCTCAATGGAGACAGGCTGAGACCCTTCCCCTTGAAAATGGGAAAAAGACAAGGATACCCATTATCACCACTCTTTATTTAATTCTATACTAGAAGTCTTAGCCAGAGCAATAAGGCAAGAAAGAGAACTAAAGGGCATCCAAATCAGAAAGGAAGATGACAAGATCCCATACATAGGAAATCTCAAAGAATCAACAAAAAAGTTTGTTGATCTAATAGAAAAATTCAACAGGGTTTCGAACCAGTTCAGTCATAGCGACATCAGTGAAGCGACATCAAAAATTTTTAAATGTGTATGCACTGGAATGCTAAGCAGATAGATATTTTACAGGTTTAAACCTTGCTAGAAACTTAGTCTACCTCTTAGAAAACAAGGACAGTGTGTACATTATATGAACCAAATCTCTTGGCCCACTGAGTCAAAAACAACAAAAAAGATTGGAATGTGTCACTCTCTGAAGTGCTGGTAATAATTCAGTCACCTGCACTAGGCTCCTGAGAGGGCTCACTATGCTTCTTCTGAGTCAACCATTCCAGGGCTTCAACCTACAATTTTTCCCATTCCAGTTAGTGTTCAAGTTCATCCAGTTTAAAAAAATTCAGATCTGTTCCTGTATCACTTTTAGCCATGCCTGAACTGGTTAGAATTGATTTGGAGCCCTGGAATTCAGCAGTGCTGCA